ATAACGATGACATATAGCAATATTTCATTAGTAAAAGAGATTGATATGGTGTTTTTAAATGGCAATATATCATTTTAAGTCTGTAAAAAAGAAGTTTTTGAGGAAGAAGAAGAAGTAGTATTTTTTTTTAGACTTTAGAAACTCAGAAGCTGATCAAATATCGGGATAAATATCGGTGGGGGGGCCGATGTCCGATATTCGCCGATACCGATAGGGGGCAGATTATATCGTGCATCCCTAAATTTAGTCATAGATTCATCGTTAACCAGGTTGTAGAAACAGAAAAGGATACCTTAAGCTGACATAGCGACCTATTTAGAGCAGCAATTTTATCAAGATTATAAAAAACATATATAAAATAAATAAAATATATATAAAAATTTTGTTTTAAGATGAAAAAGACTTTTTCGTCTGCTCAATCTGCTCTATCCAGAACCCCCATAAGTAAAAAAGTTTTAGTTTCACCTGATTTAGGAAACCTTTGTCTATCCGATTATCTGCATCAATTATCTAATAATCCACAGATTCAAAAAAAAAAAATACAAATATCTAAAAAAAAATCTAATTTACAATGCATGTATTACATATTCCAAGAAAAAAATCTATATTTTTTGGTTCTATGTTTGTTTTATTTTTTTTTAGCACTTCTGATGTTCCATATTTTTAAGTTAAAAAAAAGATGAATGCTGAATTTAATTTCATTTCTTAGAAAATTTTCTAGATTTTATCCCCATTAACATGTCTTTTATTCTTTCCATTTTTAAACTGAATGTTTACCTTTAAAATCACAGCAAACATGTAAAACTAAACATTTTTTTTATTGTTCCAAAATTAAAATATTTATATCATCAGCAAGACCATAAAAAATTCAATTATCTAATAATCGACAGATTAATCAATTTTCAAAATACTCATTAGTTGCAGCCCCAGTTCAGATATTGTGTAATTTGATTTTATTTTTATTTGTCTTTTTTATTGCCGTTTTGACTCATGAGAATCAAATCATTCAACTCTTTCATGGTAAATGTGGATAAGTAAACATTCTGATTAAATATTAAAACAGCTTGCCATACCGGTGGAGGAAACAAACCAAGTGAAAAATTTGCTGAATTCTCGTTTGGTTTGAAGTTTTATAAGATTTAGATAAAGATTTAGACAAAATCAGTCATTTGTTCAACAATCCAAGTTGTCCTACAGATTTTTTTAACTTTTGAATCATGCCATTAAAAAGTTTACATATCAAAATTGACATCAACAGTTCATAAAACATAAAAATTATTTCATATTTAAATAAATCAGCTACAGAAACTTTAACATGTATTAACATAATAGGTGTGTTTTACTGTATTAATGAATAAAGAGTAAATTATATTAAATATATTATAATTTAATTGAAGTAGATTAAATCAGTGTTCACCACCAGGGGGAGCTCTTCCTCAATAGTAGAAGAGTTATCAGATTGGAAAATGGAGAATTCGGTTGTTTTTTTCCCTTATATTTCCAATGATGATCAGGAGTCGGTCTGATCCCCGATATGATTTGGTG